GATTAACCACTAGGGGGCACAAATGTACACTGAGCCACTTTTGCATTATTACTGTGAAGATAAAAAAAAATACTAAATATAGTTCTAACATAACAAAAATGATATTAATATGAAAAAACACAGCATATTTTTTTGAATAATTGAAATTCCTATTTTTAAAGCATATTAATACCATTGTTTTATTGTAGTTTTGGCTTTGCTTCACCAGAGGAACAACACTGACAGTTTCATTTAATACCTGGAAACATTAACACCACCACATGACTCCAGTTAAATCCAGACTGGACTCACATTCTCAGAACTCGGCCCTCCAGAGAGAAGGACTGGCTTAACCCCAACATTTGGCAAATATTGCTTCTTCGTTTTTTTATTTTATTTTATTTTTTACAACAAAGTTTCTACACTCTTGCTCATAAAGTTGGAATAAGATATTTTTTTCACCTCTTTTCATGGAATAACTGTGATTTATTCTTGTTAGATACAGTGTATATCTTCTCAAAACTTTATCGATATCACAACACACACACAATACATATCACAGTGAAAATTAAACCACAGTTAACTTTTGCAAACTTTCAGGCTTAAACTAAATGAAGGTATTAAGGGTTTTGTTTCAATCCTTCAACTTTGGTTCCTTTAACAGGAAACACATATTCGAGGGGATTTCATGCATAAGATTGTCTAATATTACTATTTCAAATGTCACTAATATTAACTAAGGCCACCTCTGACATGGATCAATGTGTTAAGACATGGTGGGATACTGTCCACCAGCTGGTTGGTGGTTTCAATGGGGCAGGATTAGTTTCACCTGGTAGCTGGGACTCAGCATGTAATCACCTGGTCAACAGTGATGTGTTTAAATAGAAATAAACACAATTTATTCCAACTCTATGGGCGACGGTGTTTATACTTTAAGGGAACATGAATATAAAATTAATAGACAAAAAACTCGACCTGAATTTAAACAATGTGATACACTGAAGTGAAATACGATTTGAGGAAGCTTCATGGGTAGAACATCTCCTGCACTTCTCTGTGTCCTCCACTGAAGGGAGGCAGAGACCAGGAGCAGGACTGGAGCTCTGCAGCATGTCGGCCAGTTTACACTCTGACAAAACAACACCCATGTGGAGTGGAGCTTTGTCCTCCACTGAATAGCTCAATTACTCTGCTTTTTAAATACCTTTTCCTTGTGCCTGCTCCTCATTGACTGTATTTTGATGCATGAAACAAATCACCTGCACTGCTGATCAAGATATTTATTAAATCCTAGTTTTGATCTTGAGCAGGAAATCAGATTTGGACAAATAAAGGACGCTAAAAGTTAAATGAGGCTGTGTTGTGTACAGCTGCTTGTCTTATTTATGTGATGTCACATCCTAAACCTCATCCCTGCTCATGCTGACAGTATTGATCAGTGGATGTGTTTGCAGGAAACCTGGTGAGTTTCTCTCCATCATATAAAACCGGGACGTCTGCTCTTATATGTAAAGTGTCCTGAGATGACTTGATGCTGTGAATATGAATAAAACTGAATTTTAATGCAGACCTGCCTGTCAAGTGGCTCTGTATCTTAGCAACCCGTTACAGAAATCCCGTTACTTTCTCCAGTGTAGCGTCACAATTACTCCAACCGAGAACAATACATTTGAATTGTTGATTTTTCACCATAATAAAAGGAAAATACTGTTAAGTTGAGTGAAGTGATAAACTGTAAAACGGACCGACTCCCGGAGGAAAACACACTTCTTGTGACTGTTTTTTTGTTCTGTGCCGGTTACAGGTGTGCACCGGTCCGGTTCCGGCTGCTGACGTTTCTCCTCGCGCGAGCGCAGGTGTCGTGACCTCCGTAATTAGAGTCCAGCTGCGGAGGTTTTAGCGGAGCCGCTAATCGGAGCCTGTCGCGAATCATTTGTCATGTTTTTTTGTTTTTTTTTTGTTCGTCCAGACTGTGAGCCGCATCTGTGTCAGGTTAGTCAGCATGTGGGCCACTGGTTCCACCCAGAACCTTCAAAATAAACAGCAGCTAGATTTCTTTTACAGCCTGTTGAATAGAACCAGTGCTAGCTTTTGCTAACGAGTAGCAGTTAGCAAAAGCAGCTAACCGCTTTATTTTGCATGCTATTAGCTGATATTGCTAACAGATAGCCACTTTCAAGTTAGCAAAAGCAGCTAACCGCTTCATTGTGAAAGCGCTTAGCTGTTAGCTGCTTTTGCTAACTAGTAGCAGTTAGCAAGCAGCTAACGGCTTCTTTTTGAAAGCGCTTCAGTTAGCAAAAGCAGCTAACAGCTAAGCGCTTTCAAAATAAAGTGGTTAGCTGCTTTTGCTAAAAATGCTAATTAGAGGACACACCTTGATTGAACATGTCCCCATGGTCACATTATTTTCAGTCTTTTCTAGGGGTATCATCCTTTTTGTACAGGCCTGTTTCATGAGTTTATTTTTTTAAATAATTCTGTTGAACCACGGTTCAAAAGCAACGTCTGATTTTCTTTGCTTAATTTCCATAGAATTTTTGTTTATTGTTACTTTTGTCAGATTCAAGTTATTTCTGTGGCCGTTGTGGGTTTTTCTGTCAATAACTGAGGGGTGTGTAGGTATGAGTTTTCTGTATAACTGGTTACTTGTGTTTATCTGCTCTCAGATGTACATCACTTTGAATAAAAGCAGCTACAAAATGAAATTGTAGGTTGGTAGGTTCCTGTGGGAATCCAACACATATAGTTTGCCTGCACTACCTACGTGGCTTTATTTGGTGGGATTACTAAACAACAGCCCAACAAGTTGGCAGATGTAATTTCTCCAACCCTAAACTCTGACCAGAACCTTTTCTGGAGCAGGTTCGCTGTGCAGCATCAGTTACCATGGTGATCTGTCAGGTTAAAAAACACTGCAACCTCACCATACCTGAGTAACCCATTAATCTTGTTTTATAATCTGCCCTTCAGCTGGAAATTTAACACGTTGTTCTCAGGAATGAACAGGTAAACTCAGCTTAAAATACTTTGAACACCCTCTGTGTATAATAAGGTGCCATATAATACTATATATACTCTACAGAAGTACGGCACAGTCTGTAAGCAGCCGAGATAAATGTAGGCCACTGGGATAAATGGTTCTGTGGTCAAGTAGGTTCTAAATAATATAGGAGGTCAAATGTATTCAGGGTGATTGTGTGCTTGTCTTTGTGGCCATTATTTAAGGGAAATTAGTGAATAAAACATAATCGTTGTGTCTGTGTAATTCCAAATAAAAAGAATATTGAGTGACACCATCGGAAGCAGTTATTGATTTAAAAGTGTGCTTTTCTGAATGCAGCAGTCAGTCATGAAGCCACAGAACATTTGAAGGTAAAGCAGATGGAGAGAGCTTCTCTCTGAGCATTTTGACCTCTAATTAAAGTGACTTTTAAATCCCTTTAGGTGTTTACAGTGTTAAGATGTTGGCTTTTAGTGTATGTTCTTGTTGTTTTGGTGGCTCCAAGTGTTTTTCAGGCTAGGCGGGGTTTTCAGATGGGAGAGGTCTCGCTCGCTCTTCTCCACACCTGAGGCTCATCATGAATCAGCGCTGGATGAAGCCTGCCTCCACCTGGGCTCCAGCACCAGTGGATTATCCTCCCTCGAGTGGACACAGGCCAGATGATTTGTGCTTTGAGAAACTCGCTTTGTCTGACTTCTGCCTTTGTCTGCGTTTGATACCAGAACCTCCCCAGACAGACCGACGCATTCCCCGGCCCAGCTTCTGCCTCCCTGTCCCTCTTGGAACCTCACCTGGATTTTCTTCCCTCCCTCACTCGGCCTCCCGGTGTCCCCTGTTTCCCTGCAGCCTGAATAAATCCCTCTTTTCTCACCACCTATCCCTCTGTTGCTTTTTCTGGATCCCTATCCTGCTGAATCCTAACACTCTGGCCCTTGTTTCCAAAAGCTGGACAACACAAAGATGTGCTGCTGTACATGAGTTTTAGTTTCATGTTGGTGACATTTAAAATAAGGTGTTTGTTATTTTTAAGAAAGCAGAACATTTACATGTCACTGACTGCACTGAGGGGCAGCGCTGTGGTGTCACCTCACAGACAGACACAAGGTCCTGGGTTTGAATCGTCTGGATCGTTCCTCTGTGTGGAGTTACCGTGTCCTCCCTGTGCCTGCATGATGGACTGGAGAGCTGCTGCCAGCCTTTCACCCTGTGGACAGACTCCATCCACCTCTGTGACCTCCCTCAGGATGAGGCGAGGACAGGAGCTGCATGGATGGATGACTGCTCTGAATACACTCAAGTAAATGCTCTGTTTCATATAGATGACTAGGAACACCTTTAGAATCTCCTGTCTGTCATTTCAATTCAATATTTTGTTAGAATTCCTTTGTCTCGCTGTGTGAATGTTCATATGAGAGTCAGAAACAGGTTTATTTCAAGGTATAGTTTACACTGTATGAGGTGTTTGTTCTGGTGGGTTGGTGCAACAATAATAATGATAATATAAAGAATAAAATTTAAGATACAAATATGAATATAAAATATAATAATTTAATATAATAGATGGATAACATTAAAGGGCTTCATTTCGTTTATATGGACTCTTTACCAAATCTGTAGCTTTATCTGTGCTGGGTGAACAGGGTGTGTCTTTTATCTTAAATGTAAATCATTGTTTTTGTTTGTTGGTGGAACCAGAGAGATGCTGCAAACTCCAAATGATCATCAGGTTAAATGACAGAACAGGCTCATTGTCTACTGAAGCGTCTCAACATTTATCTGCTTTATTTTTCAGGGGCGTTTGTTTTGAAGCCCACGTCTCCTACTTTCCGGTGTTATTCCGCCTCACAGTTTGCGATTTGGCGCAACTGGACTCGCAGCCCTGCAAGGAGTCTCCCGTCTCCTCCTCCTCCTCCTCCCTCTCCGTCTCTGGCTCTCGGTCTGTCGGAGAGCTGCGCTCCTCACCCAGGTGTGACATTTTTGGAGTGCCTCACTGGAACCGCATCCCGCCGCCGACAACATGACGGACTCCACGTCGCCAGACTCCACCGCCGTCCCGGAGCCGGCTGTAGTTGTGGACCCCGCGGTGGTGAACGGCCAGTGCGAGCAGGCGGACCCCCAGCAGGAGCAGCAGGAGCCCAGCGCAGAAAGTCAGCCGGAGGGGCTCAAGATGGACCAGGAGATGAAGATAACAGACAGCATAGAGGACCGAGGTAGGCAGCGACAAATATGCTCAAAGTTTCGGGTGCCTGCGGCCAGGACGCACGCTGTGCGTAATGCCACGGAGAGTAGATGTTTGACTGTCTACACTTCAGCCAGCTGTGCTTAACATGTTGCCTTCTGCTTCCTGTGGTTTGCCTCCACTTGTTCCAAACTGAGCACAAATGCAAACCTGCATTCTCGTGGACACATCACCTGAAGCTCTGTGCTGCATGTGTTGTACAGATTCTGGAAATAAAACAATGAGTCCGTTTGGAGAAGCGCGAGGCAGCCATTAGAACAGCTGGTACATCTTTAACTATGGCACAGAAAAGATGTGTTTGTATGTTTTTCTGTGCATTAAAACAGCCAGACTTTAGTTTAAAATATGAATACATGAGCTAAATGTGGGGAATATCCTAAAACACATGAGCAGTGAGCATATGAACAGTTGGTGAGGTGACTGTCTACTGTAGAGAAATGGATGCCTATTGTTGTTATTATTATGATGATGCTAAAACAGTCCACCTCTACAACATCACTACAAATCAAACTGATCCAAACAAAAGCAGAGAAGCTGTTCATTTAAATGAATATTATGTATATTTCAAATGTCTTCTAATTTACTGTGACAAAGTGAAAAAACATAGAATCACATTAAAGCGCTGCAGAATGCTTTGTGGGATGGATTGTAGTCATATAACTGGATCAGTGCTTCTAGTAAATGTGGAAAACATCAAACTCACGAATGCAGATGGATGGACGACATCAGTCTGACTGCAAACTTTAATAACAATAATTATTCTTGTGAGTTTATTGGACATGAGAGTGAACGACAACAGTGCAGCAGACAAAGAGAAACCATCGAGACAAGTTTATTTATACAAATATATGCATTTCCTCAAACACGACTGGACTCCAGCGTAGAACTTTGTTTTGCAGAATAGCTGAACTTCATCCTCCCTGAGGGGAAGCTTGTGTTGGACACAGTGCAGAAGTCTGCTGCTTTACATACAGGCATTAAAAACATCATACAAACAGAGAGGAAACATTAAACTCTGCAGAAAGGAAACTTTACAGACTGCCGGGGGCTTGTGTATATATAGCATATTGTTTTGTTGTACGGCTCGATGGAGGCTGGAGCAGAAAACACCTTCAAGCGTTTAGATTTGCACTCTGGCACCAGCAGTTTGTTCCCTCTAGACGGTGAAGGGAGGATGGATGTAGTGTGTCCTACCTGCTCAGCACCTGTTAGCAACTAGCTGGTGAGCAACATGAAGCCTTCAGCAGCTGGAGGGTCAGATGTCTCCTTCTGGGTTTGGAGGAGAACATAAACAGAGCTGGAGTGAGGATGGAGTCACCAGAAACTCTGTGACTGAATGCTGTGGAGCTCCGCATCCACTAGATGTGTTTGCCAACATGTTTACAAGATCAAAAGATGAACACATGTCAGTGTGTACAGCTAGTTTCCCTCAAGTGGTCAAAGCTGTTCATTTATGAAGGTTGTCAGACACAAACAAGCATCATCACTGTGATTTAGTACAGACAGTCATCTGTTTCTTTAAAGCTGCAAAGATCAGTTGTTAACTATCAAATTAATCGGCAACTATTTTGATAACTGGCTTTAAAAAAGACAAATTTACCAGATTCTGTCTTCTTAAAATTAATATTCTCTGGTTTTTTTTCTCTGCTGTGATGTCAATTTGAATATCTGAAGCTTTGGGAAACACTGATCGACACTTCTCATCATTTTCTGACATTTTACAGACCAAACA